TGGAGGCCCACATAGTACCGCAAGTTGTAAAAAACCAAGTACCACTCCAGCTAAATGCGCCCTATGCGATGGTTCGCATCCAGCAAGCTGCAAAGGATGTGAGTTCTATCACAGCCTCATCAAAACAAATAATGCAAACAACAGACAAAGTGTTCAACGAAACCTTACAGTAAACGTGCACAATCCCAATTCCCTAGCGAGACCCGAAATACCTAAACCAACCACAAACAATGCATACAGAAATGCTGGTTACGAAGATGTAACACGAGGAATTACATATAACACCCAACAAGAAGAAGACACCTCACCCATAACCTTAAACAGATTTCTTGAAGAATTCAAGAACATGTTCAGTCAGCTTATCCAGCAGAATACTATGATACTAAGCATGTTATCAACTCTACTAACTAAATCCCACAATGGCTAAGTTTCTAAAAATAGCCCTTTGGAATGCCAGTGGTCTACTACAGCATAAAGATGAAATTAAAACATTTCCGGATCACAATGCAATACACATATTGTTGGTAAGCGAAACCCACTTTGCTGACAGAACATACATAAGGATACCCCATTATAACGCATACTTCACCAATCATCCGGATAACACTGCACACGCAAGCACTGGAATACTTATTAAAAATAACATAAGCCATTATGAATTACCGAAATTTGAAAAAATAAACTTCCTACAAGCTACAGCAGTTAAGGTAAAAATGAAGGCATACGAACTAACAGTAGCTGCAGTGTACTGCTCACCTAGGCACAATATCAAAGAAGATAACTTGTACGAATTCTTCCGAACACTGGGAAATAAGTTCATTGCAGGGGGTTATTACAACTGCAAAAACACTATGGGGATCTCGCTTGACCACAACCAAAGGTAGAGAGCTGTCGAAAATAATACAAAACCAACAGTACTCATTCCTGTTAACCGGAACCCCTGCCTATTGGCCTAGTGACCCAGATCTATTGGATTTTTATATTACAAGTGGCATCTCTACATCCTATATGGATATAATCCTTAGCTATGACCTTTCATTGGACCACACACCCGTAATAGCTACTATCAGTACTGAAGTTGTCAATAAAAAAACCACTCCCAGGCTTCATAACAGAAGAACCAACTGGACTGATTATCGAATAAAAATAGAAGAAGCCATTAACTTACACTTCAGTCTTAAAAGCCCTGAAGAACTAGACATAGCCCTGACTAACTTCATTAACATTCTTAAAGAAGCAGCTCTACAGGCCACTCAAATTTTGACTACACAAACAAGAAGTATAAATATCCCCACTGAAATCAAAAAACTTATTGCAGATAAAAGAAGGGCTAGGAAGACATGGCAACTAAGTCATGCCTCATCAGACAGAACTGCATATAACAGGGCCACCAATAATTTAAGAGCGGAAATCAAGAAGTCCAGAGAGCTGACACTACACAATTACCTCATAAACCTCAGTCGCTATGACAACTCCATTTGGACACCAGTGAAGTCAACTAAAAAACCTATAGTTCCTGTATTGCCTTTAAAAATCCAGATATAAGGTCATCCAGAACGATGGGCTCGTAGCGATAAAGAAAAAGTGGAACTCTTCACAGCACACTTATCGAAAGTCTTTACGCCTAATGGCAGTCATCCTGATCAAGAGATAGAAGACGATATTACCACATTACTGCCAAATGTTCATACAATAAAACTATTCAGCCCAAGAGAGATCAAAGAAGAAATTGGCTTCTTAAATATCAAAAAAACACCTGGTATTGACAAAATCACCCCTAAAATGATGAAAGAGGTGCCAAAAAGGGGATTGGTCATGCTAACATACATCTATAATGCTATGCTAAGACTTAGTATTTGGCTGAAACAATTAAAAACAGCAGAAATTATCTTGATACCAAAACCAGGAAAAGACCCAAAAGAATTATCTTCGTATCGTCCAATAAGCTTACTTCCATAATAAACTACTTGAGAAGCTGATACTTCGGAGACTAAATATGGACCTAAAGCCGGATGAATGTATGCCTCCACATCAATTTGGACTTAGGAAGCATCACGCTACAGTACAACAAACACATAGAATCCTCCATAAAATAAATCAAGCATTAGAAGACAAACAATACTGCACGTCAATATATATAGACGAAAGCCAAGCCTTTGATAAGGTTTCGCATGATGGACTCCTATTCAAGATAAAAAGGTGTTACCTATAAAATACTTTAGAATACTCAAGTCTGTCTGACCGAAAATTCTGAACATGAGTTAATGAGGACTTATCCAGCAACTTCACCATCCAATCTGGAGTCCCACAAGGGAGCATTTTAGGCCCGATATTATATACATGCTATTCACAACAGATGTCCCAGTGACTACTTACACTACAACAGGGACATTTGCTGATGACACGGTCATTCTTGCCAGCCATGATGATCCAGCAACTGCCTCGCAAAGACTACAAAGTCATCTAGACCAATTAGAAACTTGGTTAAAAAAGTGGCAAATCCACATTAATGAAACCAAATCTCAACAGGTCACCTTCACAATGAGAAAAGAGCAGTGCCCAGCCATACACGTAAATAATACTGTAATTCCACAGTCATCAACAGTAAAGTATCTTGGACTCCACCTGCATTCCAGTCTTACTTGGAAGCAGCATATAGCCAAAAAAAGAAAACAGATAGACCTAAAAGTAAAAGACATACATTGGATCATTGGAAGTAAATCTAGCAAATTGCTAGATAGTAAAGTACTTCTTTACAAGACAGTCATAAAGCCTATTTGGACCTATTGAATCGAACTATGGGGATGCGCCAGTAAATCGAACATAGCCATAATGCAACAAAGGCAGTCCAAAATACTGTGGATGATCACAAATGCACCTTAGTATGTGACTAATCAGACCCTACATGACGATCTCAGTGTACCATTCATCAAAGAAGTCATCCAAGAAAAAAAGCATAAAACATCATGATAAACTAGGACACCATAGTAATACATTACTGCAGCCCCTACTGGAACAACAACAACGAAGAAGGTTAAAGAAATTATGGCCAGCAGATCTACTTGATGGTTGAAGAGGATCTCTCATTGGAGGAGCCCTCATCATGATACAATAAGCACACGAGGATGGTGTTTAAATTAGAAAATTAGCCTAAAGAATGTATTTAATTCTGATTGCTAATAAATATATACAAAAAGAATTATGCAGTTTTCTCCAACCTGCCATCAGTTCATCTCTCTTCGGTCCAAATATTCTCCTCAACACCCTGTTCTCAAACACTCTCAGTCTGTGTTCCTCCCTTAATGTCAGAGACCAAATTTCACATCTGTACAGAACCACCAGCAAAATCATAGTTTTGTATATTCTAATTTTTATGTTTTTAGACAGTAGACGAGTATGTGATTAACTTCAGTTGCTCTCTTATCACTACCCATTACTTGGTAATAACTTCTAAGAATGGAGGTTCCTTTTACTGCTTCCATGTACAGTAGCTTCTGTCCTCACTGGCTGGTGACTGAATATGATCCTGGTCCCATTGATTCTCCCTGTATAACCCTGGCATGGACTGCATAGAAAATGCCACCTCCAGCAGTTCCTCTGTTACTGGCATATCCATTGCAACAGAAATGTGTTCTCCTAGCTGTTGCCTAGCAGTGGCATTTCCTCTGGCTCCATCATTTCAGCCTTTAGCTATCATGTCACATTAGTCCCTCCATAAGGCTGGTTATCCCACATAGCTTACAGGCATTGTGCCATTTTTTCTACTTTGAGAGGGCCTGCCTATGCAGTGTGTGAGCAATATTGTGAATGCCATTGCAGCATCTGCTGGCTGCAGTGCTTTTCCTCTGATTTTGATGGCATCCTGCCTTCATTCCTATTGGATTAGATCTCACACTGTTGTTCTCCAACTCTTTACTGAGCAATTGCCTAGCAGTGGGCATCTTCACTCGCTCCACTATTCCAGCTTTCAGGTTTTGTGTCACATTGTTATCTGTGCTCTGTACTTGTATTTAGCTATCCCTGCCTACCTCATTGGCATTTGAAACCAACAGTTTAATGAGAGGTGATTGGGATATGGCTTTGCACCCTGTGGCTAAGTGTGAACCGAGTGTAAGATGGATGGTGCACTGTGCTTCAGGGCCTACATTGAGATATTGCACTACAGCATTGGTTATGATAACACAACACTAATGAAACTTGGGCACATGGTAGCATAGTTTCTTGAGGTGCTGTGCTACAAGCTGCGAGGTCAAGGGTTCAATTCCCAGTAAGGTCATCAGATTTTTCAGTTGAACAAATCTTTCCAGCTGCTCTATGGCCCTCAGGTTGACTCACCGTCTAACAGAAATGAGTACCAGGAATCTTCCTGGGGGTAAAGGATAGCCAGAGCATAAGGCTGACAACTTCACTGCCATATGTGAGCCTATTGTCTAGAAAATGTGAGAGTCTCGACATCTCACAACCCTATGGATCTCCATGATGTATTACAGGGATAGCTTTACCTTGTACCACTCATTTCTAGTCTTCAGTTTAAAAGTATCTTGTCTCTTTTGTTTCACATTGTAGTCTCCAAACAAAACAAAATCTAATAGTGTTATCATGCCACTGTACCGTGTCCTAGAAATGTGACTCACATCATCTAGTTCTGATATTAAGAATGCATGGAGCTCTACCTCCATTCTATATATAACTTCATGGTAGCATTGTATAATTTGGCACAGAAAAATTGTGTAATATAGCTGCTTAAAATCCCCCCCCCCCTCATAATTCTTCTTCACTGGAGAATTCCCCACAATTTCGGTTATTCTAAAATATTGATGCCCAATTTTTAAATCAGTATTTTGATAAAGTATCACGCCCTTCCATAAAAATTGGCCAAGAAACAAACGTGACTACTGTTGAAGTGACATAGAGAGTAGATACAATTGTGATCATCTGCATTGACATAGACATAAATTTCTTTAAATTCTATATCAATATAAAGTGATTTTTTTTTTCAGGAGTGCTGTGTGATGTGCCTGCAGTAGGTGTTGCAAAAAACCTGTACCAGATGGATGGAATTTTGCGTGATGACCAGAAGCAAAAGATTTCTCATTTACGTGAACCTGGTGATCATTTTGCACTGAAGACAAATTCTGGAAACACTCTAGGACTGGTAAGCTAATTTCTTGTGCTCCCTGAGTATAGTATGAGTTGCCCATCATAAACTGGCTATACTCAGCTTTAGAAGAACTCGTAGATGCCACTAATAATATTGTATATTGTAACATTATAACTCTCTGGAAAAGTTATTATGTCTGTCAGTAGCCACTTGATATCAATTTGTCTTTGTCCACTATGTGTGGAAGTCATAAAATATTAATTACCACCAGAAGAATCAGAGACACAGGCGCAAGAAACTGTATGTGAGTTAGTCCTTCTCTACATATGGCCCCTGCAAGGCCACACATTTTCCCCCAACGATGCATTAGCTGCTGGATACCTTGATCATAGAAGGTCTCATTTTGACTGTTTAGGAAGTCCTCCACTGCAGAAATGATGTCATCATCATCTTATAACCGCTTACCACGAAGTGGCTTTTGCCGTGGAAAGAGGAAGAAGTCACTCAGTGGCAGGACTGGTGAATATGGTGGATGGGGGAGAATTTCATATCCCAGACTGGCAGCAAGTGTTGTAGCATGAGCCAGTGAGTTGTTGCGAAGAAGTCGCACACCTTTTCCCAGCATTCCACATCACTTTTTTTTTTTTGTTTTCTCCCATAATTTTCTTAGAAGGTTCCAGTAGGACTCGCCAGTGATAGTGCTCCCTTTTCACGTAGTTGGTCATGACACCCTGCCGATCCCAGAACACGCTCAACATCACCTTTCCTGACGACGACCGGGATTTGGCATTATTTGGTGGCGGCAAGTCTGCATGGTTCCACTGCTTACTCATTTCCTTTGTGTCAGGGTCATAACGATAGACTCAACGTTCATCCACCTTGATCAGGCGGTTGAAAAATTCCATCTTTTTGTCTTGACACAACTGCAAAAGTTTCTTTGCCACATCCATCCATTTCTGTTTTTGAACTGATGTCAACAATCATGGCACTCAACGCACAGCGACCTTTGTCATGTGTAACTTGTCATGGATGATGTTGAAAACAGACCCATGGCCAATACGGACCTCATGAACAATAGCTTTAATGGTTATGCACCTATCGGATAGGATCAAAGCTTCCACCTGTGCCACAATGCCCAGTTCCTCAGAGAGAGATGTTCTTCCACTTCGGGGTTCATCTTTGAGGTTTGTCTTTCCACAACGAAAGCACCTCTTCCACCTGACCACTGTGCCATATGATGGTACACCTTCCTGATGCACAGCGGTCATCTGGTCATGGATCTCCCTGCCAGACTTCCCTTGCAAATGCAGGAACTGTATCACAGCACGAGCCTCCACTTTCTCATCCGACATTGCCATTTTGCTTCTGCCCCTTCTGGTGGCTCCCCTGTCCACTTGGGAGGGAGTGTGGGGGGGGGAATTTGACTGTTTGGCAAGCTTAGGAAAGGGGGTATCTCCTATATAGAACAATATTTTGGAGTTATGATTTTCTGATGGTGATAATTAAAATATTATGACTTCCCATCATACTGTTTCACCACATGCCACTTCTTTGCCCTCATCTTGCATCTCGCACCAAACTAACTTGCAATTCACAGTACTCTTTGTATCACACATGTGTCCACATTATGCCTCTTCTGAGTTCAAGCTCCTCAACTTGATGTTAGCAGCTGCTGTTTTGTACATGTATATTTCTTGAAGAGTCCCATGCTTTCACAAGGGAATGAGGCTCTCTGTCTGCATTTTTGTAATATTCTAGAAAGAAAGATGGAGATTCTTGAATTTGGTAGGAGAAAGCCTGGAAGAGTAACCAGTATTTTATTTTAAAGGACATTCGTACATTGCAAGTTAATGAATTTGTTCCTACTTATATTTTTATTGAGAATGATAATATGTGATGAGGCACTGGAAATAATTTTGTTAAGATATAAGCTTTATGGAACTAAGTAGATGGCATCTTCCTGCATATACACCCATTTAAAGCTCTGGCCATGGTTTTGGATAATTGTATTTATTGACCACTTACAGGTTGTAACTAGAAATAACTATAATTGTCACTAATCCCCACACTTTACAAACCATTGCTGCTGACACCGAATCTTCTCAGTTTGCTTTCCTAGGTACAGATCTTAACAATGGTGATTTTTCCACGTATGTGCTTATGTCGTTACTGTCCAGTAAATATCCCGCAACTGTACCTCTCAGCCTCTCTTGCAGACCTTAACTTTCTTTCGTAACCACTTTGCACAGACTGAATAGAAAACGTTGTTTCCATTATACCTCTATTATTGCAGAGGTGTGTTTACTTCACCATTTCATAGAAAAGGCAGTTCTTTTATTGTTGCATGCACACTTGATTCCACTGGAACCTGTTTACCAATCAGTGCCTAGCCATGGACATGTCCTCTGTCTCCACTCTACTGGCCTTCAGGCATCATGTCACAATATACACAACAAAGAAGTGCTTGTTCTTCACCTAAATATGTGATAGTTAAAACTGGAAATAGAGCAGGAATAACATTGAAATTAAGAAATTCAAGTTTGTTTGTGGAATTAAAAAAATACTCATAACGAGGATTAGAATCACATCCAAAAGTTTGATTGCATTATTTGCAGATCACTTTAACAGCTGTGGCTGATGAAAATACTGGCAAGAGTATGGAATTGTTTGTAATGTCTTGGGTGTTTTCTGTCATATTTATGGTAGTAAGCAGGAAAGTTACATTTATGTGATTGTTTTCCATGTCAGTATTCCTTAACCTTTAACATACAGACTTTTAAATTGCCAGGAGCCCTCTGCAGCCAGAATTTAAATCGCCCTAATTAATTAACATTGCAGACTTTCAGAAAAAACTACATATTTTCTGTTCTGTGCAACATAGAAATATGAACTAAAAACAACCTGAAAGATAATACAATTTTCTACATATACACAAAAGAGCAATTTTTACAAACGAAAATTAACTGTGGTTATTTTGTCATGAAGTGCAAAATATAATCTTTATTATGTTATGATATTCCAGAGGACTTACCTGTAGTTTTTTTTGTTTTTGTTTTTTTGAGACTTGGTGTTATTGTAAATTACATAATGTAAAGGTAAAGTTGTCATTGTACTTAACTAAGCACTAAGCCATGAGGACATATGTGGGAGTGAATGTATAGATCCAGGTTTTCTTGACCTTGGCACTAATTGGAGGTGAGTATTAGGCATCACGACCGAGCCGCTTTACCCTCGGTGTACCCATTGGATAGGAGGCTGGGTGGGCCCCAGAACAAGTCTTGAGGTGGAGAGTCTTAATTTTCTATCTTTGGCTCTACATCCCTTTGTTGGACCTTGGCTGCTCTTTTATGCAGTTGGTAGGACTCCTGGGATGGGGAATCAGCCCTTTGCAAGGCCACTACCTGCACACAGGACAACACAAACACAGAATAAATGCACACAGACATCCATGATTGAAGTGGGATTTGAACCCATGATCCCAATATTACAGCAGGTGAAGACAGTTCATGCCTTAGACTGCATGGCCACTGTGATCACCGAAGAGTCTTAATTACATACCTTTGATATATGTGTAAGTTTCATGTCTACACTTGCAGGCCAGCAGAAACATTTGTATGAGTATGTAGTCACAACCTCTTTATTGTGAGATATGGCAACTCTGAGTTTAAAAGCAGTCATTCAATCTATATACTTGCACAAGGTCACCGCCATTAATGTTCTGGTGTTGTGGTGATTACTAGCCATACATGTTATTTATTCAAGAATGGTACAGCCTGTGGAGTATTCATTCAGTGAACTGATAGATATATGAAGAGAGCAGTCTTCTGGGATGTGGCGCCATGTAGATATTGTGTTAACCAGATATATGAAGAGAGCAGTCTTCTGGGATGTAGCGCCATTTAGATATTGTGTTAACCAGATATATGAAGAGAGCTGTCTTCTGGGATGTGGCGCTGTGCAGATATTGTGTTAACCAATGTTTCAGAGGAATGTATCGCCTCCACCTTCAGGGTAGAAGAAAAAAGAAGAAAATCCTCAAGCGAAGAATCGGTGTGAGCAGGTGCAAAAAGACTAATGTTGAGAATAAACCCAGCTGTATAGAGCAGGAAGAGAAAGGAGAAGGGGAGGCAACATGGAAAATCAGTAGAGAGAAGAGGGGAAGGGTCTGGGCAGGTTGGGCCAGCAGGTATAGAATATTGTGTCAGGGGAGAAATGCAAGGTTAATGGGAGGACATTAACCCTTAAGCTTGGGGGTTGCTAAACAAGTCGCGCATGGACTTGCGTGACCTTGTGGATCCAGCATCATGTCCCAGGGGTTTCTTGAGGGAACAGATGAGAGGCTTCCAGGACTTGGTGAGACAAACCCCCCCTTCTCTGTTCATATTGTCGGGATGGAGTTCAATCTCAATGGCCTCCCTAATGATGCGATCCATATAGCGGTTCTTGGTGGCGAGGATGGAGGTATTCTGAAGCTGAATGCGGTGTCCCAGATCAGTGCTGTGTTCAGCTACAGCTGACTTGTCTGGAGGTTCAAGATGGATGGGCCGCTGAAGCTCCTTCAACCTCGTGTCCACGGAACGGCCCGTCTGCCCAATATAGACCTTGCCACGCTTGCATGGGATACTGTGTACACCCGGTGTTACTGTTTGGGAGAAACAGAGCATAACATTGCAGCTGCTTCACATCTGTGCAGTGAAAGGTATCGACAGCAATGGCATCCAAATTACAGGTTATTTCTCTGGAACATTTTCTGTAAGAAACAGGTTGTACAGTATGTGACCCAATATGAGAAATGCTGTTAGACCATGAAGTCACAGGAGCACTGATATATTAGATGTTCTGCACGCCATAGAGTGATCCCTTCCTACTGGTACCAGGTGGTTTCCTTGCACCACATTTGCCAGCAAACACTGTTCAGGGTGTAGGATTTGAGGTTCTTACAGTGGTGGTTATGAAGAGTACTATCTTCAGGGATATAACGCCATATAGTCTGTTGAAAGGCAACTGACATTTCAGAGGAACATATTGCCTCCGTCTTCAGGGTCAAAGAATAAGCTGAGCGAGAAACCAGCATGAAAGCAGGCAGCAAGCAGAGCTTTCACTCTGGATTTTTCTCGGCTATCTTCGACCCTGAAGATGGAGGCGATATATTCTTCCAAAACATTGGTTGACTTTTGATGGAGTACATGGCATTGTATCTCAGAAGATAGTACTCTTCACTGATAAGGGTGTTGTGTCTGTCCCATGTACGGCATGTTCAGGCTCTACAGTCACCACTGGATTTTGGGTGTTGAAAAGCATTATGCAAATGGCTTCTGTGGCGGCATGCTGCATTTCTAGCCTTTCTCAACTGAACATTTGCTGATGGATGAAGCATGTTTCTCATGGAATTAGATTTTGATTACTTGTAACCGGCACTCGTGGGCTGATGAAATTCGACATTCCTTTGAAGAAACACAATTCCAACAACATTTCATAATGAATGTTCAGGTAGGAATGATTGACAGCCTCCTACTAAGTCCTTGTGTGCTACCAGTTCGACTGTCAGAGGCCTCCCATTTACAGTGACTCCAGATGTTGGATGATCCAGATCAAAATATGAAAATTTCTGTTCTCAGTTAAGTACGTACTTTAAAAGATGCATGAGAGTTAGGAGCAAGAGGGTTTCACTTAATGGCGAGTGGAGTCCAACTGGATCCACTCGACAGGGCAGCCACTGTTTGGCCCATTGTAGCCTGCCTCGGGTGATTATGATGATGGAGAATTTGGTGGAATGAAGATTGGCAGGGGAAACCGAAGTACTCGGAGAAAACCTGCCCCAGCGCCACTTTGTCCGCTACAAATCCCACTTGACCAGACCCAGAATCGAACCTGGGCCACCAAGGTGGGAAGCCAGCGACTAACCGCTTGAGCTGTGGTGCGGCCAGCAAGAGGGGTTAGAGCAAGAGGACTTTCAGACTGTGTTGAAAGCAGCTGGAGAGACTGAAACCACGCAAAAAAAAAGATTGGCTTGAGCTGGATGAAGGAGGCCTGGATTTCAGCTTCTGACAGGAAGAAATTGCTTCGGCCATATTTTTTTTTTATTTTCATCAGCACATAGTGTTGATTAGATTTTTCACAGTCTCGCTTGCAGCGCTGTTCTATGAAGTTATATTAAAAATTATTCACTTTTAAAAGTTTAAAAAGTTTTCACTGCATGTTTTGTCCAGTGTTAAATGTTAACAACATAAGCAACAGCAGAAGACAGCGGTTTCCTTGCCCAATAATTTTAATACTTGTTGATGACCACACTGACTGATCGAAACATGTGATAAACTTTTAAAACTGTATAAGTTTTAATAAAATTTTATAGTACATAGTGTTGCACGTGAGACTGTGAAAGACTAATCAACACTAAGCGAAAAGTGCAACAGGATGCTACAATATAATATTAGTCATCAATACTACCTATGTTATTAAATTTCCCATTTATTTGCTTTCTAAGTTCTTTTTTTTTTTTTTCTTCTTCATTAAACTGGATTGTTTGTTAGTCCAGATGATCTTCCCCCTCGAAAGATAATTCGGATTTACTGTATGCAGCTACTGGACCGTGTACCTTTGGCAGCATGGCACACAGAGCAGGTATTGCATGATGGGGCTTCTGCCCATTCTTCTCATAATATCTTGTGTTATTTAGACTGCTGCTATCCAGGTTGATGGGTAGGATGAAACAAACCAGTTGAGTGACCTCTGTGATCACCTGATCTCACTCCTGCCAACTTGTTCTTCTGAGGTAATCCAAAGATCATTGTTTATTCTGTGGAATTGTGAAATGCAACTGTGTTGGCTGGGATGAGAATACAGAACATGCCTGACATCGTTCATAGCACAACAGGGTTCAGCTGTGCATTTACCGTAATTGGGGACATGTATTGTAAGATGCTTGTAACTGGCCAGATGCCTTTCTTTTCACACGTAATAAACTCTATTGACAAGTATGTTATTTGTCTAGTTTTCTTCCCTCATGTTCCCTCTAGCCATGTCTCGGCTAGGAGAGCAGTTGCAACCATATATTTGTGTGACTGTTTCTGGTCTCCTGTAAGTGTAGAACATTATGGTTCTATTTAATGTACATAATTAAGACTCACCTCCATATTGACAAAAGTATGAAATACATATCATATTATTTAGTGTTCTTTGATGGATCTGCAGTATGAAGGAGGAAATTGATAGGAAAGTTAACTTTTTTTTCCATAAAAAGGGATTATGAATAAAATAATTGTTACATAATAAATATGTAACTATGAAAACTATTATGTTCTTTTGTGTTATGCTGTATAGTATTATAGCAGTTCACTGATTTTTTGATGTTCCGAAATGTGTGAACTTCTGCTGGACTGCATGAATTTACTGCTGTAAGAACCTCAAATGGAACAGACTTATAACTGATTATGCATGTCACTTATCCATTGTGATTGAGGGCCTTTGTGCTCTTCCCCAGCCTCTCAACACAAATGCCCACAGCCATTTCTTCCCATATCCTTCCTGTTCATTATTTGCAATCTGTGATTCACTGCTGCATGAGCTGAGTGCAGTGAACAACTATTGCTAACTGATTCCATGGAGCTGAGTCCTTGAGAAACCACCAGTCATGCAGCTACTCAAGAAATTCACAATGTTTCACAGAACCAGATAAATCCAGTCCATACTATCCCATCCTGTTTCTCTAAGATCCAAGTTTAATATTATCTTCCCACTTATACCTGGGTCTTCCACATGGTCTTTCCTTTTGGCTTTCCCTCGAGAACCCTATATGAATTCCTTTTCTCCCAATGTGTGCTGCATGCCCTGCCCATCTCAACGTTCTTGACTTGATCATTCGAACTATATTTGGCTAATAGTACACATTATAAAGCCCCTTATTGTGCAGTTCTTTCCAACCACCTACCATTTCATCCCTCTTCAGTGCAAATATTTTCCCCAGCACCCTGTACTTCCCATAATGTCAGAGACCAAGTTCACATCCATACAATGTGAATCCAGTCTGCTCTTAATTTCCTCATGAATCTAATTCTGATTTGCTGCTGTAGTTCCAAAATATTTTAACTATGCCACACTTCTGAAAGATGTGTTAGCTATCTTTGTGTTGTGATTTTGCCCTGCATTCTGATGACAGGACATCAACATGTACTTAATTTCCTCTGTGTAATTCCCTTACTAGCATCAATTATAACTTCCTGCAAAAGGACAACCATCCCTAGGTACTGTGGAGCTAACAACTGGATTTTAACTCTGGGGGTAAAGTACATATGTCTCTGGGCTTAATTAAGTACAGTGCGATGAAGACATATGGGAGAGTGTTTCTGTGTTTCTTATTGTTCTCTCATGTTATTTCAGATAATTTACAATAGTATGGGTATTTATTTGTATGCATCTTCAGAATGAGAGTTTCAGCCAACAGTCAAGGCATTTAGTTAAGATATTTGTTTAACTGGTTGGTATTCAGTGCAGAGTGACTCATGCATTGGCATAAACAGATCGTTGAACTGCAGCTGCCTTGATATTAAATGCACACTTATTTCCATTATCCACTAAGCCTTTTTCTTGTGAACATTCAGCTTTGAGCATTAAGTATATTTATGTTGAGCCATGGTAAGGTAAAGGTAAAGTTGTCCCTGTACTTAATTAATTAAGCACTGTGCCATGAAGACATGGGGGAGTGTAGGCATAACTCCATGACTCTTGACCTCAGCACTAGATGGAGGTGAGTGGCCAGCTTCATGCCACATCTACTTTACCCCCAGGGTAAGAGCACCTGGTACCCACTGGATAGGAGGCTGTAGATAAGAAACAAATCTTGCACCTGCCAGGATTTGAACCCCAACTGTCCAACTCGCCCATTGCTGTACTGACTTAGCTATCTTGACTCCTAGAAAACATTATTGAACAACATGTTTCTTGTTGAGAATTTCCATAGGAGGAAGGTATATTATACATGTCATTCTGTGGAGATATCCAGATTCACCTTTACCCAGGAAGCCGCGTGTGGTAAAGTTGCACAATAAGTGACATGAAACTGGTTCATTTGCCGAAAGGAAGCAGAATCAGGCAAAACATGTGCTGACTTCAAAACAGGACTAAAAATGAGCCCAAAATAGTACTTCAGCAATTGTCTCAGGAACCTGGTGTTTCAAGCCTCCATCCTCTGAGCTACGAAAATCCTGAAGTTCTGTCCTTGCAGAATATTGTTGATGCACCATCTTGTGTGATTTTTATCTATGGGGAAATGTGAAACAGAAAGTTTACAGAGATAACACTACACATTGAAGTCTGGAACATTAGATGGTGCAGTCATGACCGATTTTTTCATTGGTAAGAGACCAGAAGCTGGCCGGAGTCATGTTGTGCAAACAGGAAGTAATAAGGCTGCAAATGGAGGAATGAACTTCTCTGTAGTGTACACTCAAGTGCCAAAAGTCATGAGATAGCAGTATGTAAATTTATTTTTAATTGGCGCCACCATCCCTTGACGGCTTGGGAATGGCCAGAGCAGTATCAGTTGTGAGGTGTTCTCTCGTGAGTCAGGTTGAACACCGGCCAGTCTACTCATGGGAAGCCGACGTGAATTATCAGAGTTTGAATGGGGCATGATAGTGGGTCCCAGGCGGATGGGACATTCCATTTCCGAAGTTGCGTGGTCATTCAACATTCCTCGATCCATGGCGTCACATGTGTACCGGGAATACCTTGTGGAAGTCATTTCCACCCACCATGGACAGTGCAGTGGCCGACCACGGGTGCTTAATGATTGTGACCAGCAGTGTCTAGCTAGAATTATCCGTGGTAACAGACAAGCAACACTGGCTGAAATCACATCCACATTCAATGCAGGAGGTACCAGACACATAGCCAACAGGTCAGTGCAGCGTTCTCTAGCTTCCATGGGATATGGGAGCAGAAGACCGACCAGAGTGCCCCTGTTAACACCACGACACCGGACACAGCGCTTCACCTGGGCTTGTGACATCACTAATTGGACCCTGGAAGATTGGCAACATGTGGCATGGTCCGATGAGTCATGATACCAGTTGTTTCGGGCAGATGGTAGGGTTTGGGTGTGGCGCAGACCCTATGAGGCCATGGACCCCATTTGTCAACAAGGCACCGTGCAAGCTGTTGGTGGTTCCATACTGGTGTAGTGTGTGTTCACGTGGCGTGAGTTGGGTCCGATCATCCACCTAAACACGTCATTGACTGGTGACTGCTACGTTACACTGCTTGGTGACCATTTGCAGCCCTTAATGGACTTCATGTATCCCCACAATGATGGGATATTCCAGCAGGACAGTACACCGTGTCACTGGGCCGGAGTTGTCCAGAATTGGTTCGAGGATCATTCTGGAGAGTTGCGATGAATGATGTGGCCACCACGTTCACCTGACATGAACCCAATTGAGCATTTATGGGACGTGGTAGAGAGGTCCATTTGCACCTACAAATACCAGGGATCTGTGGGCGGCTATCCAGATGACATGGCTCAACATCTCTCCAGAGGTCTTCCGTCCACTTGTGGAATCGATGCCACGTCAAGTTGCTGCACTTTGCCGTGCTAGAGGGGCTCCTACATGATACTAGGCACCTATCCCATGACTTTTGGCACTTCAGTATATATAAAACCTTTGTGTAGGAAGCTCGAATATAACCTCTACCATTTGTGTGGTTTTCATTCTAGGCTGTGAAAACATCTCCTTCGTCCACCAAGCCTGTATATGTCTCTGTGGGGCATAAGATCAGCCTTCCTACAGCAGCCTGGCTTGTATGTTATTGTAGCAAGTATAGAATTCCAGAGCCTGTGAGACAGGCAGATATACGTTCCAGGGAATTTATACGGGGAAAAAAGTGAAGTCTTGTAATAAAAGGGAGAGTCGGTAAACAGGTCACAAATTGAAGTAAATTGACATAATAGGTTTTCTATATGCATCACTCGGTAGCAGCACAGTCCAGCTTCATGACAGTCTAGGTAGCAGATGGGCATGGGTATGTGCAGAGGCTGGTGTCAATAGTCAAAATGGCGACCGTGCTTGAGGGTGTACTACTGAATAGCAGAGTTATGTTGTGCATTTTTTATGTGCCAAAGGACTCAATGCAGAGGATATCCATAACAAAATGTTCCCTGTTTACAGTGGGGAGTGTTTGTACACGTAAAGCAGTTCACAACTGGGTTGAGAACTTCAAGGATGTTCAAAATTCACAGATGATGCCCAGCCAGGTGCAGAAGTGACTGAGATAACTGTGAAAAGACTTATGCTGCATGTTTCGAAATGATGGGTCGAGTATGTCTGTTGGAGGATATGGCGAGAAATAAACATTTTTTCCAGGTTCGAATATCGCGTGTTGTACGTTTTATATCCATTTGTGACCTATTTACTGACTCTCCCTTGTATCAGGAAATATTTGTAATTTTCCACTGTATATTTTGCAACTTTGTAACATGGTATTTTACTAACTATCACCATTAAGTAGTTATGACTTATGATGTGTAGTCAGGAGATCCTTGATTTCAATCTTGGGCTAGAGATGAGCCATCCAAGTAAGTACAGGCATAGCACTCAAATTAGCCTGTGACCAATTTTACTCCACATAGTTTGCAATTTGGTATTCACTAGTCCCACAAATTGAAAATCACCAATTCTGCCTGCACATGATGTAACGAACCCAAGCCAGGGTGGAAGAACTATACCATAGCCTACAGCCATGTACTGGTGTGTCTAGTGGCAGAAAGAATTGTCAGGTGGTTCACCTTTGGAGCAGAGTGTTTAACAGTGTGCCTGGTTGATGTGAGTGATTTTGGGAGGGCAGATAGCACTGATATTAGGGGTCATGAAATCATGGATGAACTATAATCTATTGATATTAAGTCTGTGCTACCAAAGTGTTTTCACTTCATATTCAATATCTCGTATGCAAATTGTGTTAAAATCTTAAAATTCATTTTTTTTATTATTTCAGTTATTCTTTGTATCACTAGTACACTATACATTTTGACTGATATGGACATCATCAGGTGCTTAAAAAATTTCTGCATATGACATGTAAGGAGAATCACCCATCACTAGAAGGGTGCATAAGGAAGGGTATACTTTGGAATTGTATTCATTGATGGAAACGCAGCAATTTTCAAAGCATTTGTTGATGGCCATATTGGTTGAAACATATAGTGCAGCAGTGATGTGAAAACTAAAAAGTTAAGATTTTAACACAAATTTCCATGTGAGATGGCTAATAAGAAGTGAAAATGAATGATTTGCCACAGGATGCTTTAGTACAACATTACCACAGTGTTGTTTAATGAACTATAAATAAAATAGCTAACTGCATTTTGAAAGTTAACATTTTAGTAGATGGTAGAGAAAATTAAAAATTCTGGAAGTTTTATCTTGAACCCATACAACAGAACAAGTCAACCAGTGAACGTGTGAATTCAGTTGTAGTTTATTAGCAGTGATGAGTGAATTTGAGGTGATTCTCAGTCTCATGATTGACAGAGAGTTACTGAAAAGCAAAGAGAGCCTGTTACACTGCACAATGCACATTGAAGTCCCCCTGGTAATGTTTGTCCACATATGCTTAATTCTAGGGCATATATTTTATTTGCACATTGTTGCTACGAACCTGGCTATTATAGTTATTGTGTTCGTGGACATTGTCCATCATTCTGTTTTTATTTAAAACAGAATGTTTCAGAGACTAGAGTCTGTCTCCATTTTCAGGCTGAATCCACTGATTTGGGCCCAATGAATAGAGCTAGTCCCTATCTCTGGACACCAGCACCAGACAGAGACAGAATTCAGTCTCCAAAATGTGTGTTTTAAATAAAAACAGAATGATTGATAATGTCCAGAAACACAGTGAATGTATTAATATGCCATCATCACAAACTTTTAGATGGCTATTATATGTTTACAAACAAACATCATTTTACCAAAAGAATTTTAAATGGTATTTTCTTAAGAAACGATTCTGTGGAACTTGGAAATATTTCATTCTTGTAGTAGGGCTTGTGCTGAGAGGTGAATGGCTGGTCATATCATTTTTCATGTAGTAGTAGATCAGAAACACCTGGAAAGCTTCAAAATGTGGTGTTGGAGAAGGATGGAGAAGATCAGTTGGACCAATTATGTGAGAAATGAAGAAGTGTTAATTAGAGTCAGTGAGCAGAGGAATATCCTACACGAAATAAGAAAATGGAAGGCTAATTGGATTGGTAATATCTTATGCAGTAACCGCCTTCTAAAACAGGTTATTGAAGGAAAGATAGAGGGGCGGATAGAAGTGACCAGAAGACGAGGAAGAAGACGTAAGAAGATGCTGGATGACCTTGGGGACAGAAGAGGATATTCTCATTTGAAGGAGAAAGCTAGATTGCATTAAGTGGAGGAACTGTTTTGGAAGAGACTGTGGACCTGTCGTCTTGACAGATTACTGATGAATGAATGAATTTCAGTTTGGGTAATATGTCCAGTATTACCAGTATAATAGTAATAAAGTGGAATTCTGAATCTGTAAGACTGTTTAAGAGGGATTAGCTTTCGAATATCCTGTTTCTCTTGATTGTGATATAGTAAGTCTGTAAAAGAATAATTTCACCTAATCCAGCATGCAATTGAAATAATACAGTGATATCAGTTCCATGCTTCATTAGATGAGGTGGATCACTTCATTTTGTACCTTGTTTCATGTTTAAATGTCTGAAACCTTAGAAGTTGCTAGCGAACAAGATGTTGACATTTAATTTTATGTGTGAGTGGAACTTTGTAAGATGGTCATGAAGATCACTATTTGGATAATATTATTGATAATTGTCAATGGCAATGTTTTGTAACTAGTTTCTCTATAGTAGTATGTGTTACTGGAAGCCATGACACCAGCTCCATTTACATATTGTGGATAGCAGAGTCCAGCCCCACAATAAATAAGCTGTTTCTTGTAGGATTTGAGGTTCTTGCAGTCGTGGTTATAAAGAGTTCTGAGATATAACACCATGTAGTCCATTTAAAGTCAGTTGATGTTTTGGATGAACATGTTCCCTTCATAATTCAACTCCGTGGTTTTAATCCATAAGCGAACTATACCTGCTGAGCGACCGCTGCTTGTCAGCGAAGTTGGTGCCAACTTTAGCCGAGGGTGTCACGTGGTCAACGCAGTTAGTGCCAACTTTAGCCGAGGGTGTCACGTTGTCAGCGCAACGAATCCCCACCCCCGTCAGTTTCGGTTTTTCTAGACCAGAGCCGCTATTTCCTTGAAATATCTCAATTATTCTCACGAGGCTGAGTGGACCCTGTTCCAGACCCACTGGTAGCGTCGGGAATCAAACCCGGACCTCTGGATCTGTAGCCAGGAACTCTAACCACTAGACAACAGAGGCGGTCGCACTTTCATCTTCAGGGTCAAATAATAAGCCAAGCAAGAAATGAGTACGAAACAGGTAGCAAGCAGAGCATTTGGCTTTTTTTTATTGCTAGTGGGGTG